AGACCTTCAAGAGCAGGGTCTATGGTAAGGTAATAAAAAGACACCAAAGAATGCTTCCTTATGAAGGTATAAAAAAGGGGTGATGTTTTTCTTTTAAGTTAATGAAGGCTTGGGCTACTACTATAAAAAAGGATGAGGAATAATAATAATAATAACAATAATAATTAGTAATAATAGGAATAACTAAAATAAGGAAGGTAATTTATGTGAATGGTGTTGAGCCATCCATTTAAAAAGCCATCAGGATGCTGCTTTGCTAGGATTCCTTCCTCTTCAACACTGTTAGTTCCTGGCACTGCTGTAACCAAGTGCCACAAACTTAGTGTCTTAAATACAGAAATTTTTTTGCCTCCCAGGTCCAGAGGCTTCTAGCCTCCTTTCAAAATCAAAGCATTAGCAAGACTGGTTCCTTCTGAGGTCTGTGCAGGAGACTGCTCCATTCCTTCCTCCTAGATTCTGTGGATTTCTGGCAGTCTGGCATTCCTTGGCTTGGAGACCATCATGCTGATCTCTGCTTCACACTGGGAGAGCATTCTCCCTCTGCCCATGTTGTCTCTGTCTGCATTTGCCCTCCTGATAAGGGTTCCAGTTGGGGTAAATTAGTGCCTATCCTAGCGACTTCATTTTATCTTAATAACCTCTATAAAATCCTATCTCCAAATGAGGTTACATTTTCAGAAACTAAAGGTTAGGACTTCAACATATGAATTTAGTAGGGACATGATTTGCTATGAAAGGCACCTGCTAAGAAAATCTGAAAAGATCCTCCTTTAGAGCATGTTGTGGTGACATCCCACAACCACAAGTCAAAGGACCATTATGTTCATTTGGATGGACACGGTACCTTGATCTAAGCAAGTTTTAAGTTTTGGATTAAAGAAATAAAATGAATTTCTCTTAACTTTGTTCAATGTTGGGGACAATAAAACCCTTCTGAAGGAAAATGAAAGACATAAAGAGCTAATATTAGCTTGTGAAACATTTGCTCACAATAGGCCATACATCTTCAGTCATTCAGGTCTGAACCTCCCCCAAACTAGTTCTGAAGAGGAAGGCACTACAGACAAGGGACTAAATGAGATGAGGCCTCAGAAATTATGCAGGAGCCAAAGAGAAGGGTGTAGGACACATGGAAAAGATTATAGGCCTAATTTCTAGATTTCTGATGAGTATCACCTTAAAAATAAAAAGTGAAAGAAGAGGTATACAGGGGAAAAAAAGAAATAGCATGCATGGAATAACTACTATATACCATGTCCCTAGTTCTATGATCTATCTGCCTAACTTCTTGATTTAGTCATGCAAGAACTTTCTAAAGGTCACAGAGTAATACATGGACAGAAGCAAATTTATTTTATTGCACCATTAGTTTACGATGCCAAATACAAATGATCACAGTGAGAACAGCACTTCTCAAGTTCTATCACGTGCATAGGGAAAACACCATGGTATCCTGGAAATACACCTGCCAAGAGCAGGTGGCACCCTGTTCACCTCCAGGAACATTTCTAAAATATTCTGAGTTTTGTGGCTGCGGTGTACCCTGGAACAAGCTGCTATGACCTTCAGTTCAAATCCCACCTTAGCCTGGGGAACAGAACTTCACCCCTCTGAACCGCAGACCCTTCAGCAGTGGAGTGGGAATAAGAAGGTGCCACCTTCCTGGGTTATAATGAAGATTACATGTATGAAGAGTACTTGGCATACAGCATGCACCAAGCTTCCTCACTCCTCATTCATTATTAACATCCCTTAACTAAAAAGGTGGAGTTTTATTGTGGTGGTAGTGGTGGTTGCCTTTTTCCTGGTAAAATCATCTGTGCCACAGACTGGACATGACCTTTTCTACTAGCTACACTGTTCTCCTCTGTATGGGTAAGAACCAAGCTCAAGAATAAAGAACCTGAGATTTATGTTTGTTTGTTTTGCTTTTTATATTGCTATTGTGTTTTGTCTTGCTTATTGTAATATCTCTAGTGAGAAAAATGATTTTATGTTCTCTGATGAACCTGTACTGGGAAATGCTAGTGTAAAATGCAATAATCATTAGTAAGAATAATGAATAACCAAAGAGCTTGAAAATACAGATTTTAGGGGATCAGCCTCAAAAAGTTGGGACTGTGTGGGTCTGGGGTAGGCATCAGAACCTGTAGTTCTAGATAGCATCCCAGTGGATGCAGAATGCAAGTGAGCCCAACTACACAATAAGAGACCCTGATGTTGGCTGGGGATTTAGCTCAGTGGTTCCACTGCCTGCCTCATAAGCAAAAGGACCCGAGTTCAATCCCTGGTACCAAAAAAAAAAAACAAAAAAAACCAAAGAGACCCTGAGGTAACCAACTCAACCCATTAAACTCTGGGAATGTCACTTCCTAAAGGCTACAGCTTCTAAAATATCAGCTCTAAAATCCCATAACATCTCATTTTCTAAGTCACATAAATCACACTTTGGTATGTATGTGTATCCTGACAGAATACCACATTAACAGCCACTACATAAATGTCTAATATTCTATCATTAAGATACTCTGGAAGCATTTCAAACGTTTGCACTGGTAACTATAACCATTCCTCTTTTACAATCACACTTCCCAGGTGCTAAGTTGCACCTTGACCTCTGCTTCTGTGGGCAGCAGGTAGAGCTGAGGACGCTATGGCCAAAGACAGCAGGGTCAGCAGCACTGGCCTCCTTGCTACAGGGTGCAGATGATAAAGGAAAAGTCACGAGTTCAGAGAGAAAGTACCCAGGGCTGTTGCCCAGCACATGGAAATGCCTTGCCCTCCTTGTCCTGGTCCCTCCTAGGTATGTGAGAAAAACACAGAAGGACACTGGAGTCAAAAAAAGTAGAAAGAGAAGAAAAATCCTGCCAAACAGTAACCTCATCTGAGACTCCTATAAAACCGAGATGACATTTCACAGAATGGCTGATTTACCTCCTGCTTTAGGGGAGACTCAGCAGCCTGGTTCTGAACTCTGCCAAAAGCCAGAAAGACCAGAGACAGACACTAGAGAGAAATCAACTTCTCGAGCCCATTCAGTATCTCAAGTGTGACATATTTGCTCTTGGCTTAAAACTGGGGCCTGCCAAGGCTTTGGGGCATGATAAAGGAGGGAAGGTGCTAGGAAACATTGTATTAGCAAAGGTAGAGATGAGATTAAGATGCAACAGGGAGTTTTAACTGCCTACTAAACAATTCTCCACAACTTCTCAGGGAACTTCTGAAGAAGAAAACATAGAAAATAACAGCTCCCAAAAGCATTTTGGAGCTTATTCTCAATCTGATGGAGAGCTGCAGCAGAAGGCATCCCCTCTTCCACACCACCATACAAATATACGACTGTCTTTAGGAACTACACATTTCGTGGCCATCAAAACCAGCTCCCCGCCAACACAAATGCATCTTCTGAACCTCTTCAAAGATCCCAGTAACATGGATTCCCTTAATTCCATGACTAAAATTTTTTAAAAGACATACTTAAAGCATCCAGATTTCAGATTGGTTAAAACAAGAACCAATTTGATTTTCAGTTCCCCTTTATTATCCCAATTCCACCCATCCTCCATATAGCCCTTCTCCTTTATTTTCCCTCTCTCACAGTCCCACACACAGTGAAGGGCAGGGGCACTTTCTCTTATTTATAAATTATATTCCTCCATGTTTAGAAGCGAAGGGAAATATAAGTCTGATGAACATGGAGGACAAGCTAAATGACAAGATATATCAACAGCTAATATTTGTTGAACACTTATTATCTGCCATGCTGCCCAGCATTTTACACGCATTACATCCTTGAATCCTTACAACAATCCTATGAACTAGATACTATAATAATCTTCATTTCCCAGATAAGAAAATCAAGGCCAGAGGAGATTAAGTAACTTGCTCAAAGTCACATGGCCACTAAGCAGCAAAGTCAAAATTTGGACCCAAGTTGTCAGGCTTTAGAAGCCAAACGTAAATGACTAAATTGCTTAGGAGATGTTGTTTCCTTTTGATTAAAAGAAATCTTAAACTTCTAATTTAGGCTAAAGGGGCATGCATCTTCCAGCACGCATCGTGCAGAGGAGAGAGCTGCCACAAGAAGGCATGCCAACCCTGCCAGCACAAGGAGGAGCACAGCCCATCCTGGGGACACTCAGTGTCAGGACCCCTTAGAGCTCAGCGATGGTGGCTCCAAGTGCATTCTCCAGGCAGGATATCAGTGCTGGCTTGACAAAATGGTGTGGCTTTTCTTAAATAAAGGAAAAAGATTAAATGGCATTAAATGAGTCTCATGCTGAGATTTAAGGATCTCGGTACTAACATTGCTGATCTTGAACAGGCAGCTCAAACAAGCTTAACACGTGAGTTGCATTGAAAGAATTAAACTGTTGCCAAGTAAAGTGCCTCAAAGAATTGGAATCTTGTCAAACTAGCTTAACAGCATGAAATGGTACAACTTAATGAGAGACACTATAAATCCTGAGGAATACAACACACGGCTCTCTCTCCAAAGACTGATTTCACAAGTGGTTTAGTATCTTTCCTGGGTGTGCATACACATAGAGTGGTAGGTGAAATACTATAATTAAAAGCTTTTTCTTTAATTTGACTAAAATATCTACTACCCATTTTCTTTTGAATCTCTGTATTAATTTCTTTAAGGGAAAAAAACCCTCAAAGAACAGATACAATCATGGTAAATAAGATAGTTATCTTTGAATATTACCCCACATACACACCTCCTAGAGATATAATACACATTCCTAAGCACTGAAGTGCTAACATTAAAGCAAATAAAGCAAAACAAACCCTGTGATTCAGTGCTGAACTTGAAATATGGGGACACTGTATTGATCCTTGCAAATCTGCCAAGGCCTAAGATCTAATCCAAAATGGATACAGTGAGAAATAGAGATGGGAGGGAGAAGAAAAAGGTAGAAAAGTTTTGACTAAAAGAAAGGAAGAAAATCCAAATTCAGCAAGATTTGTTTCTAAAGAAAGTGTAATGTACTCACCTGTCTACTGCTTCTACGTCAAAGCAAAACCTCTTCTCAATAGAATCTGTTTTCCGCCGTGTGCAGGATTTGAGGGTGACTGATTCATCTTCTCCCTAGTGGGAAGACACAGATTACAGAAGTAAGGCCAGAATGTGGGATCTCTTCCTCCCTGGGACAAACATAGCACATAAACAGGAGAGCACATCATCTTCTCAAAATTCATGACCATGTGAGATGAAAAATTAATCATAAACATTCTCAGGTAAGAGCCTCCTGCAGCTAAAATTTGGAAATCCTGTTATATTTAGAACCAAACATTTTTAGTAGTTGTGGATCAAGATGATACAGCATCAATTCACAGTAGATGGAAAGAGCTCCTGGTCATATATCTTAACCAGGTTTAATTTGTAGACTTGGTAAGAGTTGAAGAAGATGTACTCCGAAGACTGGGCTTCTATACCCTTGAGCCAGTCATCACTTCAAGAACACCTTCCTAGACCAGGTAAAAGATGCCCAAGATGTGTTCACATGTCCTTATGTCCTTTGGGTAATCCAACCCTGCTCTTATTCCATCCTCAGGCAACTCTTCAACCTGATTTCTGTCATTATGGATTGATTTCATCTTCTACAATTTTTTATAAGTGGAACCACACAGTATGTACTCTTTTTTGTCTGGTTTCTTTTCATTCAGCCTAACTGTTCATGTTGTGTACATCAAGAGTTTGTTTCTTTTCATAGCTAATCACTATTCATACTTTTCATAGCTAATTACTATTACTATACTATTAAGTGGAACGTGACAATTTTATCTCCTAGTACTGATTTACTGTCTAGAAACACAGAAGTTACTGTTCCTGAGTTCTTTTTCTGTTACTTACAAATCTGCTAGGGTTTCTGTTTCTCCTACCTCGGCCAATATTTTTTCTAAAGGGGGCTGGGGGTGGGGTGAGGGGATTAACAAGCTTGCCTAATTTGTTGAAATAATAGAAAGTGTGATTACATGAGGTAAACTTAACCACTCACTGACATCAAAATAGCACAAAAAACACAGAAGACTTAAGAGACAGTTTATATTCACACGCTCTACATCTATTGTCTTTTATTGAATACCAAAGATTAATTACTCAGATTGAGAACTGTTCTATTTCTACTTTGTAAGATACATGAGTGTATTAACTAAAAATTACAGGAGGCCATTGTTTTGGATTAGGCTCCCACTCTGGGCGTCAAGAGACCAGACTAAAAGTCAACATGGAGTCACCCATGCTAATGTTCCTCATCACTAAGCTGTTTATCTAACCTTTCAAGAAACCAGGAGAAATGAACTAACAGCCAAATTTTCCAAACAGGCTCATTTCAATTGGCATGACTGTACTTCCCTCTGACTTAATTCTTACACCAAAAGTTAACTTGAAGTAACCTCATGTTGACCAATTATCTTTCCATCCTTCTGCTTCCCTGTCCCTTCCCTACAAGGAAAGTAACTTTAAAATGACTAATCTACTTTATGTTCTCTGTTTCTGCTTTTATCAGCCTTTCTTTGTCTTAAAACCAACCTCTTCTGCTTAGCTCATCAGAAGATTAACTCTGTTTTATGAAACGAAGTGTTGCCTGGTTCTAGAATCAAAAATCAAGCCAATTAAGATCTTGAAACTAAACTGTCCTAACTTTGTCCTTCAACAAGAATAAGCAATCTGACCTCATTAATGCCTAACTATATTTCAGATTTAATAGCTATGAATCAGCTTCCACTTTCAAAGCTTAAATGAAGTGCCACGGAGAAAGGTCAGGGGAAAGGCGTCTATAAAGGATCATCCAACAGAAGCAGAAAAAAGAACAAGATAAAATTTTGTTCCAAGTGTGACCACGCCATATGAGGAAATATCTGTAAAGATTATCTGCTCAACTACTTGAGGTTTTAAAAAGTGGCAGGTATAGCTAACCACCACTTAAATAAAAAGTTATATCCAGGGCTGGGGTTGTAGCTCAGCGGCAAGCACAAGGTCTTGAGTTCCATCCCTGGTACTGGGGAAAAAAAGTTACATCCATGACCAACATGCAAAACACAGACTGCTTAAAAATCTGAAAAAAGATAAAAGGGATGTGATCTAATCAGGAAGGCAGAGAAGGTTTTCTTGAGCTGGGATTAGGAGAGGTCCCAGGAGATAAAAACAGGAGAAAAGGAGCAAGGCACAAAAGCAGCAGGTAAAAAGGCCCTGCGGTCAGAGTCCAGAGAGTGCTAGAGGAACAGAGGAAAGCTGGTGTGGATAGAATCCCAGAAAGAGAGGAAAAGTGAAATGAGAAAGGGTTTGAGGGAGGGTAGGGGCCAAACAGTGCAGGATTCTGGTCTGTTTCCTGAGAGTAGCAGAAAAATAACAAAGGGTTTCAAGCACACAAAGGGATATTCTTTCACCACGCATGGCTGGAACAAGTCTACTCACAATTCTAGGCCTGAGGCTGGAAGAACAGTGGGGACTTCTAAAGAAATAAAAAATACCCAAAACCACAAGGGACAATTAGTGGGCAGAAAGGGTAGAATAAAACCAATGTTAGGGGGAAAAAACCACCCTACTCTCTAAATTAAGTCTACGTGTCTAGGTCCTTGGAGAGCTTTGCGCAAACATGTATGCAAAGACCTCACATGATGCCCCACACAAACCTAGACCACATTATTTCTACAGAGCCTGTCCTTCTAGTTCCACTACCTGAAGCTGGAGAAACACAGTGACACGGTAGAAAGTGCATGATTTCAGCAGGAGATTCAGACTCCATAATGACACATTCAGCACTCACTCTGCCACTCATCAGCTGATCTCTCTGACCTCAATTTCCAGCTTTGTACAAGGAAAAAGACTGGATCAAATGGCCAATATAGGGTTATGGAAAAAAAGGATGTAGAAAATTATAAAAGGTTATATAATTCTAGGGAATAATTATCAGAAAAATGAATTATAGTATCACGATCCTAAGATAGCACCCACTGGTGTCAGAGTCTGTCCCAAGAAGATGATCGGTATTAACTCACAAAACCTCTTACAACTCACTAGGATCTCACTGAAGTCTGAGGAGTCCCAAACACCACCATAATGGTTTCTATCATTTATTTTCAAGCAAAAGTAGAGAAAATAGAAGAGAGTTCTTCATTAAAGATTTGGTAAAGTGAAAAAAAAGCTCCCAATTAAAGACTATGGGAGAGTAATTCAGGGAAGCCGATTTCTAGAAAGACTAAGAGTTGGCAATGGACTATGAGTCTATCCAAGAAAAACAGGCCTGCCTTTATGGCCATTTCATAAAAAACAGGGATTCCTAGTAACACAAGTTTATAATATTCCTTCTAACTTTTTAACTTCACAATGTTACAATATTTTAACATGTCTGCTTTCCTGAGATTATTTATAAATTAATCCACCCCTGCCAAGAAACACTAAAAGGGCTTTGTTATTGCTTGGACAAAGGGAAGGAACAGAGATGCTGATTATCTTCTCTATTGTGGCTGAAATAAAAGAAAGCCAGGAAGAAAAACTGGAAGTGGAAGAGAGCCCAAGGCTACAGCATAGCTGAGTAGATACAGTAACAATAATAGCACCTAACACCCCTGATTCAGGGAAACTTGGTATCAGAGCCAGCACTCTCTACCTGAACACTACAATGCCTCACGTACACAATCCCAACATGTTGCACAAAAATGAATTATAGAGAGGGCCAAAGGTGGAGTCCTGGTAGGGTAAAAATTCATCAACAGGTATATAAAACCGAAAAATTATTTAAAGACAGAACCAGAGAAATTACTCAAAATGTCGTCCAGAGATCCAAAGTGATAAAAAGTATAAGGCCCTGGGGTGTAGTCAAGGATGCCTAGCATGCATGAGGCCCTGGGTTCAATCACTAGAACCACTTAAAAAATAGAAAAATATAAAATTCTTATTAAAAACATTTAAACATCTAGATGGAGGTTAATAAGAGTAAGGAAAGGCAAAATTCAGTGATAAACGGTGAGAATTTTCCAGAGTTATTGAAAGAGACAAAAACCTCACAGCCAAGAACGCCAAAAATTTCTAAGCAATAAATTTTAAAATTTCAAGCCCAAGACAATCATATTGAAATGTGGATTACTAAGGGAAGAAAAGAAGGTAGTAAGAGCAGACAGAAAGAAAAGACAGATCACCTCCATAGGAAATGCATTTGACTATGAGAATACCCAGCAGGACACAAGAGACAGCAGTTCTGGGCAAGGCAAGAATTTTGCAGAACTGAAGGAGCTGCCTTACAGCAGGGAGACCAAGGAACCTGACATGGCCTTTCTCTTCCAAAGATGGCCACAGAATATCTTCCGTCCCACATGCTCTTCAGAGAGAAGACACTAATATACCCCTATCAAGAGACAAAGTCTACGTTCTGTCTCAATGGGAATGGCCGGGCTTTTGTGATCACTTCAAGCAACAAATAGGGCAAAAGCAAGGCTAATGACCTCTGAGGTTAGGTTATTAAAAGGCAGTGCCTGCTTTTACTGCTAGAACATTCACTCCTGAAACCCATGGGTGCTCAAAGCCAAACTGCATCAAGATGTTGTAAACAAGCCCAAACTAGCCCACCCAGAGACCAGATGGACAGGCCCTGAGGCCATACAAGCACACAAGGAGGGAGAAGGAGACCCAGGAAAAGGAGAAACTGTAGCTGACCAGCCTTGAACTATTTTAGATTTACAATGTTCCTGCTCTACCATCCGACTGGAACTTCATGAGAAACTCTGAGGTTGTAGCACCCATCCAAATGCTTCCCCAATTCCCGACACACAGATACTGGGAAATACTAAAATGACTGCAGCTAAGTTTGGGGGCAACTTGTTACACAGCAATAGAGAACTGGAACATCTAAACTGCTCTCCAGGGATTGAGTGAGAGTGCCATCAATCAGTTTCAGAATGAGATCATCCAAGTTTTGGCATCTACAAACATTTGACACATTTAATATCCTACACATGTGAAATATAAGAATCTTCCTTAATTGTAGTTCTTAATATAACTTACAGCTAAGGATAAGTATCATATTTTAGACCTCTTCAATGTACAAGGCCTTCTGGAACTACTGTATAAAATTAAGAGAATTATAGTGAAACATTGGAGGTATTACTGTATATATGCATTATTACCATTATCTGTTACTCAAGCAAATCTAGCATGAAATTTCAAAAATGAACTTACCCCCTTTCCTCCTGACTTTTGGTCAAATGGTACCATGATGATCTGTTTGGAATCTCGTTGATATGTACAGTAGTGCTTCACCCAAGAAGTTCCAAAGTGACCTGTAAGGTAATATTTCCCATTAAGCATCTGTGCACACATGTCCACTGTAGGCTGCACATAAGTAACTGCAGAAACACACAGCCCATAATGCTCATTCACCCATACACTGTTTTAGGGGTAATGTAATTTCCACATCAGCTAGACTGAAATAGACAGAAATCTGATCCCGCAGGCTGAAAATGGAACCAACCCAAGGCTTTCCTCCAGAGACTCATGAACACTATTCCCACCAATGCTATATCCAGTGGGTCTTAAAATATAAGGGAAGTAGAAGTTCCCTGGGAAAACTAATTCATATTCCCATCATCAAGCTCCATTTGAAGTTTCCATTCTTTTCTCTGACAGGAAAAAGATGGTTGAAGAAAGAACATAGAAAGACTTCTTCAAGTGTCTATCACCATTCCCATCTGAGGCAATGACATCATGCTTCCCACACAGCTGCTCGGAGACTCTGACATCAGGGGTTCTGATCTACTTCCAAATCCCTCATTTTTCACTTTAGCAGAAATCAAAAAGTATCTAAATAGAAAACAAGCCATTGCTTCTCAGCCTTTTGGCTAAGATCAAGTGTAGAAAACAAGCCAGCCTCAGAGACACCAGAGATGCAGAATGGAGGTGACTGTAAATGCACAAATCCAATCAGTCTGTCTCACAAAACTATACCTCAGGAATTAGGGAAACACCGTAGAGTCAAGGTCTAATGAAGTCTCTGATTTCACTCAATGTTTGGCCAATTCCTTTATTTTAAACAGCAAAATAAAATGACTAGAGGAAAAAAAACATTAACAGCCTGCAAGGACCTCAGTCAATGCTAGTTTTAAATATTTATGGACACAACACAGGCCATTCCACCACTCCCACCTCAGAGAAGGGGTCCTTCCGGCCCCCATTCCACCACTCCCAGCACAGAGGAAGGGGCTTCTGGGTTGCTGTTCCACTGCTCCCAGTGTACAGCAAGGGGCCTCCTGGCTGCTGTTCCACCACTCCCAACCCAGAGGAAGGGGCTTCTGGGCTGCAGATCCACCGCTCCAAGTCCAGAGGAAGGGGCCACCTGGCTGCCACTCCACCGCTCCCAGTGCAGAGGAAGGGGCTTCTGGGCTGCCATACCACCACTCCCACCACAGAGAAAGGAACCTTCTGGCCACCATTCCCCTACTCTCAACCCAAAGGAAGGGGCTTCTCGGCCTCCGTTCCACTGCTCCCAGCACAGAGGAGGTGAGCTGTGCAGGCACCAACAACACCCCCTCACATCCGGTCAAAGTGAGAAGACACGTAAATAAGTCTCAAAACCAGACTTCCAGATCACCTACAGCAATCCCAAAGGGAAATGAGATGGAACACTATAATACTCAACCACTTGACTCCCTGAACTGGCAAAAAAGAGGATCTGGAAAAAATGAAATCAGAAATAATATCTCAGATAACAACAGAGATTGTGCTCCTAGTGCAATACATGATTAATAAATCTAGAGAGGAGCTGAGGAATATGATGGAATCCCAACATAGGAAACAAATGGAATCCATAAAACACATGCAAACAGATTTCCAGAAGATTAAAAATTAACATTGAAAGTCTACACAGCAGAACGAGCCAATGTGAGGACAGAATTTCAGATATAGAAGATAAGATTGCAGTTAGTGACCAAGAATAGAAAAATTGCTTCAAAATTGTAAGGGACCATGGGAAATCAATGCACAGCTGCTAGACAATGCAAAGAACAATAACATAAGACTGACTGGAGTCAACGAAGAAACAGGAGAGAGTACAGATGACACAAAAAAACTGCTCACAGAAGTAATGAAAGAAAACTTCTGAAGCAGGGGAAAAAAACTTGACATACAGATAAAGGAGGCATATAGGACTCCAACTAGCCTTGAGTAAAAAAAAATCTACACATAGGCAGATACTGGTTAAGATTCAGGAAACCCAACAGAAGAACAAAGTTCTACAAGCAGTTAGAGAGAAGAAACAAACCACATACAAAGGAAAGCCCATCATAATCACAGCAGACTTCTCAACGCAAACCCTCAAGGAAGAAGAGCTTGGAGTGAAGTATTTCAAGCCCTAAGGGAAAAAAAACCTCCAACCCAGAATGACATACCCTGCGAAACTATCTTTCAAAATTGATGGAGAAATAAGACACTTTCATAACAAAGAGCACATTAGGAACTTCATGAATACCAAACCAGCATTCCAAAAAATTTTAGACAATATCCTAGGAAAAGACAATGAGGATCGCAACCCCAAGAAGCCCAGCAGAATGAATCCATCGAGCCTGACAAGAAATTAAATGTAAAGGGGGAGAATCCAACAAAAAAGAAAAAGTCAGGACAATGATAACTCAATACG